GGCACAATTTTTCAATATATATATATATATATATGTGTGTGTGTGCATGCATGTATGTATGTATGTATGCATGCATGCATGCACGCATGCATGCATGCATGCATGTATGTATATGTATGCATGCATGTATGTATGTATGTATGTATGTATGCATGCATGCATGCATGCATGTATGTATGTATGCATGCATGCATGTATGTATGTATGTATGTATGTATGTACGTATATGGGTATATTTCTATATGTTTATATGTATATGTTTATATGCTATGATTATATATATGTGATCGAGAATTACCCCAGTGCGACCCTACCTAGAAGTTGGAGTCCCTAGGAAAGCAGCATTAGTTGCTATGCTATGCTATGCTATGCCATGCCAGCTATGCTGCACTATGCTATGTTATGTTATACTATGTTATGCTGCACTATGCTATGCTGAGCTATGCTATGATAAGCTATGCTATGTCATGCTGCGATGTGCTATGCAAAGCTATGCTATGATATGCTATGCTAAGCTGCGCTATGCTGTGCTATGCTATGCTATGCTGCGCTATGCTATGCTACGCTAGGCTTGGCTATGCTATGCTATGCTAAAGCAGCGCTGCGCTATGCTAAGCAAAGCTAAGCTCAGATGAAATAAGCTAAGCTAAGATGAGATAAGCGACGCTAAGCTAAGGGGACGTAATTGGGGAAACCGCGGGGCGGATCCTGGGGGAACCGCCCGGGGCGATTTCCACTGCCCGGCCCCTTGAAGCCCAGAGGGTAAGAACCCTTCCAGGGAGAGCCTAGGTAGGGAAAACACATCAAGAAAACGACTTCTGTTTTCGGCCTCTCTGGGCTTCTACTGGGGCCCAAGACCGTCAAACACGGCTCACGATGAAAAGCCGCCGCTGGGGAAATGATGGGGACTTCTAGGGACCCCGTATTGACATAATCGAGACATCGGATAATTGCACACTTTTCCCAGCGGAATTTGGAAGGTAAGAACGGAGCGGGCACCTCCAAGCAACACTGTCAGTGACGCCAATTTGCAAACACGGTGTGATCGGCAAGACGTGAAACGCAAAAAACGCAACTCACGTCCTGAAATCGTTGCCGACTTTCTGGCCCAAAGCCAGATGGTGGAGGAGAGATCTGGCAGAGCAGGAGGAGAGATGCCGAGGACAAGCAGAAGAGAGGCAGGAGAGCACCAGATTGCGACTGATACGAAATTGCCCTCGACACGTATTGGGCTAGGGTACTGCGCGCACCCCCCCCACCCCCACCAAGATCCCCAGGGGATTATTACCGGGAACAGTGGGTTAATGATCAGAGCTCGAGATAGCCCCGATATTGCCCCAAAGTGCCCCATGATGGCCTCCAACCTGTTCCAATATGGCTACATCGTGTCTTTGGCCTTCGAAGAAAGAGTGCGCCGCCCTTCAGAGAACGAGTGCGTAGTTCGCCGATCAGAAAAGAAGGGATGGGAAGAGGGATCGGACCGCGTAGTGTGTGTATAGATATGTACACACATTCTTACATTTATGCCTGTATATATTCCTACCTACAGTGGGGGCCCGACCACAAGAAAACTTCCACAAGAAACCCAACCCTGAGACCCCAGGACGTCCATCGATCTTAGTGCGGGAACGTCACGCCTTCCATCGCGAAACCATCGAAACCCAAGGCACCCTGGAGGCAAGCAGGGTGTTTCTTGGCATGGGCCCCCACTGTACCTACACGCACTAATCCCGCCAGCCCTTCGGAGGGCTGGTGGCCTGAGGTAGATTCTAAGGTCCATCTGTGCACTGGTTGCAGTCCCTGGGGCTGGAATCTGTCCCTCCCCCTTCCCCATCCCCGGAACTCTGACTTCAGCAGATCGCGGGGCTTCAAGGCGCCCTTTGTCTGCGACCGAATACGCCGATGTGCAAGCATCAGTCACCAGTCTGTAACTGACGGCTTTTCGCCTATCTTGGCATCCAAGAGAGCCTCAGAAAGACCCAGGATTATCTACTCCTGGTCCTCCTTGTTTTCGAGACGCTCCCGAGGAGGCTGAGGTATCCAAATGTCTTCCACAAAGGCCCAGGAAGCTCCCGAGACGCTGTTCAAGAAACCCAGAAAACTAAGATGCCCTTGAGATACCAGGAGGCATGAGTGTGCGGCATTACTTCTTTCCGGGTGTTTTTCCCTGACCCCTCTCGCTCTTCCTCTCGATCCTTGTCCACATGATCGAACGTAGTGGACCAAATCACGTCAACCAGCGCCGTGCGAATTTGCAACATATCGCGTCATACAAAACCAACTCACACATTAGCCACCCAGACCATTTTACACGACCCTGGCACAAATCAGGCAACAACGGAAAACGGACAGACAACGCAGCGCCCTATCATGGTGGATCGTTCATGCGTCCGCAAGTCTGGTACCCGCCGGACGCGGACACATGTGTGACCGTATGCCAGATGCGGCACGGGTGATGATTCCAAGTGGAGGAGTACGAGGGGAGGACCCAGCCCTCGAGGGGTAGAGCGATGAAGGATGGGAGACTCGAGTGACAGAACCAGCTCGTTGTGTTCACACTGGAACGTATGTTCGCATTGTGGCCGACCAAACCACACCAAACCCACACCGATCATACGACAGCCGCGTGAAAGCGTGAGCGCGGGCGCGTCTGTTGTTCGACCACAGAGCCCGCAGAGACGTGTTGGGTTGGGGGGCTGCCCTTCAGACTCTCCCGACTCGCCTGGCCAGGCAAGCCTCTCTGGAGGGAGAGGAGCCCCCCTCGAAAACTCATCCCCGTCAATCTCCCTCAACGCCCCGCCCACATCCCTCTCATCCTCTTCTGCTCCGCCCACCCTCCTTTGAGGAAGCGTAACAAGACCCGGGTTCCGGGGGCTCTCTGGTTGGCCTGACGGGGCCATCCATCAGGAAAATGACGAGACCTTATCTGAAATTTGACGCGAACTCCCGCTACAATCATCCCACGAAGTCTGGACCGTCAAAATCCGGGACGCGCTCGTCAGAGAGCGTCGGCAAACCCGATGTCCGGCGTGCTCGAGTCGTACGTTTCCCCGACCCCCCCCCTCCTGAGAGCAGGGCCCCCGCTAACGCAGGGAGGAGGATGAGGAGGATGAGGAGGAGGAGGAGGAGGAGGAGGAGGTGGAGGAGGCGAGGAGGAGGGGAAGGAGGAGGAGGAAGAGGAGGAGGAGGAGGAGGAGGAGGAGGGAGGGAGGGAGGGAGGGAGGAGGGAGGGAGGGAGGAGGGGGAGGAGGAGGGAGGGAGGAGGGAGGGAGGGAGGGAGGGAGGGAGGAGGAGGAGGAGGAGGAGGAGGAGGAGGGGAGGAGGAGGAGGAGGAGGAGGAGGAGGAGGAGGAGGAGGAGGAGGAGGAGGAGGAGGAGGGTGGAGGAGGAGAGGGAGGAGGAGGAGGAGGAGGAGGAGGAGGAGGAGGAGAGAGGAGGGAGGAGGAGGAGGAGGAGGAGGAGGAGGAGGAGGAGGAGGAGGGAGGAGGAGGAGGAGGAGAGGATCTTTTGGGGACAGCTCCCAGAGGATGTGTGGCATGTGCCTCGCCGGCCCGGCGGACCGCGGAGGACAGCTCTAGGGTACGGCACCTCCCTACCCCGCCCGCCCCCCTCGGGGGCAGCCGCCGCCCGCCCAGTCCCTCGCTGTTTTCTTCCGCCCTGCGCTGTCAGGCCGGGCGCCTGGTCATGCGCGGCAGGCCAGGCAGGGAAGGATGGGGCCGCAGGATGAGCCAACGCACGCGCTGGGGGAGGTGGCCACTGGGCAGTCCTCGGCATCCTCCTCCTCTCCTCCTCCTCCTCCTCCTCCTCCTCCTCCTCCTCCTCCTCCTCCTCCTCCTCCTCCACTCCGTCCCTCTCCGGACCACTCCTTCTCCTCCTGCTTCCCGTCCCCTGAAACTCCTTGCCGCCGAGAGGGAGTGCAAGGCACCACGGTGGCCTGTCGCCGTCCACGTGGATCTGCCGCCTGGCTGTCATGAGAGGTCAGTGAGACGGGGCACCAGATGAGGAGAAAGGGTGGGGGAATCCTCCTCCATCCTCCCTTCTCTTCCTTCTCCCCCATCCTCCCTTCTCCTCCTCCTCCTTCTCCTCCTCGTCCATCCTTCCTTCTCCTACCGCCTCCCATCCACCCTCCTGTTCATGATCCCCGGCTCCCCCCCTCCCCCATTTCCGTCCCGGGCGACCTCGTGAGAAGAAACAACGGGATAAGGGGAGGATGTAGGAACATTACGAGTATGCAGAATTGCTAGGACTCGCGGACATAAGATGAGGAGGGGCAGAGGGGAGAGTGTATAGACACTTCTTGCAAATGCTGAAAGTGGATGTGTGATGCACGAGACAAGTCAACACTACCAGGAACAACCACGCTAGATGTCTTTCGCTGCTGGGCATTTTGGAGATGAGGATCTCTAGCGACTGCCACGAGAACTATCACAGACTCAACCCGATGTTGTTTTGAACCCTTAGCCGACCTCGTCGGGTATACCCGTGTATGCTATCTTCGAGCGATACAATGAAACATGCACGATCATCGCGTATCACCACGCACGACGCAGTGCAGAGGCCCTGTCTGCGCTTGATCCTCCAATACCAAGGTATGCCTTTGAGTGGTACAGTCCACGAAAAGGGTGCCAAACACCTCATTTAGACAGTTAGCTACGAGCTGTCTGGCCATGCCAGGTAACAACAAACATACATACGCGACCGTACGCTGGCGTCATTTCTTTAAACGGACTCTTCCAGAACCAGAGAACCAGAAGCAACACGAGCCACAAGAGGCGGTCGAGGGACAACACGAGTAGTCGTGGGAAGAGCATGGGGGGGCGGCGAATGATGATGATGCTGCTGCTGATGATGACGATGACGATGACGATGACGATGACGATGACGATGATGATGATGATGATGATGATGATGATGATGATGATGATGCTGATGATGATGATGATGCTGACGATGATGGTGATGCTGATGATGAGGAGCACGCAATTTCTTGCGACGCGAGGATCACCAAGGGTCTCCAGCACTCCGCAACCGTCGTTCACCCAGAAGCCTCCCGCGTCC